AATACTGCCAAACCTCCTCTCCCCCCAGCTCTTCCTGCTTTTTTTTAATAAAATGTTTTTCCTCTCAAGATGTGCAGAAATTGGCTCACGAAGACTTGCTGCAAAAAGGTTGAGCTCTCATTTAGAGTCTAATTTCAAATCTGCTGAGGAAAAACAAGATGCTACAAAATGAAGACAGTGCATTTTTTTCCTACAGACTGACTGCTTACCCATTCTGAACATCTGGTTTTTAATATAAGGCCTGGAAAAAACTTACAATATTGATATGAGATTACACCTCTGAGGGGAATTAAAGGCTCACACTGAAATATAAAATACGCAGTCCTACTGACAGGGCCCGATGGCTTTCAAGAGAGAGGCTTCTGCCATATTAGATGGACATTGAAAATTAGTCAGGGTTTTTCTCTGTTTTGATTCATAACAGGTACAAGATAGTAAGACTTAATAATGCTTAGTATTTAGCAGCTTACATGTTCAAAATTACATTGAGTTAATCTATTTAAAACTTAAGGGGCCTGTATCTAATGTCACTTACACACTGGTTTTGTGTCACTGTAATTCTGCTAGCTTCGCTGGAGTTATTCCTAGTTGGCATGAGATCTGAATTAGGCCAAAGGAATTTTGTGGCATCTGCCCATTATTTGCATTGAGATTATACAGGATGTTTACTTACCAAACTCCTATAATCTAAATATTTATTAAATGTCTACAAATAAAAGGAGATTCATTTTCTTTTCTAGAAGTACCTTGACTGGTTTAACCTTGGTGCTCATTACTGAAGGACTGAAGAAGAGTAAACTTCTTTCCACTCCCTGTCCTCCACTCAGCTGCCCCGTGCCTGAGCCCTACTACACCCCCTTCTTTGTCTTTCAGCAACGTAAGACCTCAACTATTTCTCTAGCCTCGCCACAGCATCATGTTCCCTCATACTGAGTGGTGGAAGTTGACTTCCTGCTCTTTAAGGCTTGGTCTACACTTAAAAGTTGGGTCAATTTAGCTATTCAGTTGTTCAGTGGTGTGAAAAAAACACACCCAGCTTTCTTTTGTCTTTAATTCCCATCTGTCATCTCAACAGTGATGATGAGGGCTGAATGAAATCTTTCCACCACTTTCTATCTTGTACTAGCTTTGTGACTTCATTCATCTTTAAACCTTTTTGTTCCATGTCATTCTTCACTGTATCTATTCAATGCATGGTTGTCCTCTAGTTCTAGCTCCTTGCACTCTGGTATGTATCAGCATGTATGGTATCATTTCTGGGTCCTTTCTTTGACACATGACAGTCATCTTTCTAGTAGCTTCTCTAGTAGCATTTTTTTTGCCCTCCTTGTTTTCTTATCTCTTCACTTTTTTATTTTCTGCAGTCTCACTATTCTCCTACCCAGTTCATTTCTGCAATCAAAATCTTTCATTCATCAGCTTTCTTCATGCTCCAGTATTCTGACCTGTACAGTAGCATTGCTTTGACAGTTGTCTCATATACACTGATTTTTTGTTTTTATTGAAGTATCTTTAACCTTCCAGATCTTGCAGGGTTTTCTGAATGCAGCATTCTTCATTTTAGGTCATGTTCACAATTCCCATTCTTCAGTACTAGTTCTCCAAGGTAAACAGTTTTTTCCACTTGTTCGAGTTCTTTTTCTGAATTTGATCTTTACCTCTTTCTCCTGTCTTCTGATTGTCATAATTTCTGTCTTTTGTCCATGATGAGCTTCAATTCAAATTTTCCGCTTTCCTGGTCTACCTTGTCTATTATTCTCTGTAAACCCTAGTTGGTCAATGATATGAGGTCAAGATCATGTGCAAATCTAAGGTTATGCACTGTCCGACCTTCCCCTCCATTTCTCCTCAATGTTATAGCCATTACTGCTTCCAGTACCAAGAGGAACAAATCTGGTGATAGCATGCTTCCTTGTGTCATTTCCTAGGGTTGTCCTGAACCATTCTGTCAGCTTCCTGTGTGTTCTCACTGCACTCATCAACTTGCTGTAGATGTTTTCTAACAGTTTGGTCAATTTTTTTAGGGATGTCATACAGTCTCATAACTTGCCATAATCCTTCCTGCCGAATGCTATCAAAAGCTTGTTTGAAGTCCATAAAGTTGTTATAACATGTTGAGTTGTGTTCTATATACTTCTATGTATCTCTTTGATATCTCTCTTATCACCAGTAACTGACCTATTGTACTTTGTCCTGATCTGAAACTGGTCTGTTCCTCTGCAAATGCTGCTTTCACTGACTTCTTCATTCTCCTATGCAACATCTTGGTGAATGCTTTTCCCAGCACACTCAATAAGCTGATACCTCAGTAGTTTTGCACTCACTCTGATCCCCCTTTTTTATAGATTGGTACTATTATTGCTTTCCCCCATTCACTCGGCACTTGCTCTAGTTTGCAAATCTTGTTGAATAGCTTGCGCATCACCTTTACCATGTGTTCCCCTCATCTGTTTTTTAGCAACTCTGTGGTTATGTCGTCACTTCCTGGTGCCTTTTCTTTTTCAAATTTTAAAACTTCAGAAACCAAGGTGAGGCCAAAAAGTATGCAATTGGAACAAACACAATCAAAACAACATGCAAAACAGGGAATTATGTGATGAACTTGAAGGATAAGACATTTATTGGAACATGGAACTTAAGAGCATTATACCAGGCTGGAGCACTTGTGGTAATGATGCACAAATTGAAAATATTTGAGTGGATGGAGTTGCGTTGTGCTAAAGCTGAAGGCAAGTTAGGCTTTTACGGCATTTAACCTAATATCTCCTAGTATGCTGAAGGTGAGATTCAGAATCAAATCCAGTTGAATGAAATACTTCAGTAAATTTGTACTTCAGTAAAATAGTACAAATATATGTCCTGACCTCAGCAGTGCCCAAAGAAGAAATTGCTGAATTTTAAAACGATCTATAGAAAACAACACGATAAGTTTCAAGACAAGATGTGTTATTGGTAGTGGGAGATTGTAATACAAAAGTAGCATACAACTGGAATTCCTAGGCAGTTTTGGACTAGGTGAAGAAAACGAGAGGAGAAAGGCTTCTAAATTTCTGCCTTACAACCTGGTGATAACAAACAAGCCATTTCAACAAAGAAAAGCACAGAGGATGTGGACGTTGATATCACCTGATGAGCAAATAAAAAACATGGTAGTCTTTGAACTTCTGTATTGCAGATGGAAATCAAGTGTTGTTTTGCAGATCATTTGCAGCTGATATCAGATCAGCTCCTAAGTTAGTGCTGGCATCAATGGTAAGGCTGAGAGCAGTCGAAAAGTGCCAAGAATTAAGATCTGTGATGAGGACAAATTGGAAGTACTAGATATCAGGAAAGAAAACTAGAAGCTGTGCAGAGAAACATCAAGTCTCTGTAAAAGAAGAAATGAATGCTGAAGAGACATGGAACATTGTAAAAAGTGGGCTGATGAACAAGTACTGGGCTACAAAGACAAAATGGAGAAACTGAAGTAAATAACGGATGAAGTGCTTCAGTTGAGTGACAAGCACAGGAAGCTGAAGGAGAATACAAAGAACAAAAGTCTAAGAGCTGAGTACAATAGGCTGACCAGAAAGATAAAAGAGAAAGTGAACAGAGACAGACACAATTGGATAAGTGAGCTATGTTCAGAAGCTTAAGAATACACGAGAGAAATGTGACACGGGGGTGCATGACAAGATAAGAGAACTGAGTGAGAAATACAAGCTGAAGATACTAGCAGTGAAAGAAAAACACTGAAAAATAGTTGAGGATGAACGAGCAAAGAATAAGCAATGGAAAGAATATTTTGAAAAGCTGTACGATGTGCAAGGTGCAGTAGTTGAAACCGTCCTGGAGAAGCACAAACGAGGGAGAGCAGATGCTGGAATTCTTAGTAGTAAAGATCTTGATAGAAAGTTTGAAAAAGAAAAAGGTGCTAGGAAGTGACTAGCATAGCTATGCTGATGTAACCACCAAGGGAGATGCAGATACATCCATTGAAAAATGCTTTCATCCACATAACCAACTTCATTTGGAGAGGTGGTGCTTCTACACCAACAGAAAATCCCCTTCTGTCAGTGTAGGCTGAGTCTGCTGGCAGAGCTATGCCAGTATAGCTATGTTAGTATAGTCGTCATCGTGTAGACAGAACCTAAGGGTCCTAAACAATTCCCAGAATGCCAAGCCTATATAGCTGGGCCAAGTGCTGAGGACATGTGTGGAGAAAGGGAAGGAATCCTCCCCTCCAAAAGCCATGGAATAACCATGTAGGCACTTCATCCAGACTATCACAGCCTAATAGCTGAAGCAACCTGCATGGTCCCCAGTGGACACTTCCCACATGGGACAGACTGAAGGACAGAGGTATATATTCCTCCCGTCCTCCCCTATAGCTCCTTTTTGAAAGATATGGTGAAGTACTATAGATCAGTACAAGTTCACATGAAATTACGTCAGGGTTGCTTGAAAGGTTTAGAAACACTTTGAGAAACCAGGTCTGAGTTTCAATTTTGTGTTTAAACAAACCAACCAAACCAAACCAACCAACCAAACAAACAAACAAAAAAAAACCACAATACCCAAACCAGGTGGCTTTTGTATTTTGTGGCAACCTGTATGCATAACTTTAAATGCTTATACTTCTAGTCCCAGATGTTTGCTCTTTGATTACATTGCCAATAACTATGAGCCTCCTCTTTCCTTTTTTTTTTTACATAACATTTATTATTTCATGGCATTTTACTGAAATTCACAAGATGAACACTCCATCCAATGAAGGTAAAGAAAGGGCAATGAAACCGAGCAGCAGTTTGCATGCAGTTTTTTATATGTAGAGAGACATGGAACTTTGCGAACATCTGTGGCTTTCCCGCAGACACGGAATGTTGCAAATCTTAGGTGTTTTGACCCATATTCTTACCAAATACAGATATGCTGCATCAGCAGTTCTCTCTAAGCCTTGTGCTGGCTTTGATGGCATGGAAGCTCTCTGAAAATGTATTTTATTTATTTTTCTGACTCAGGCCAATCATGGGGGTGAGGAGAGGAGGAAAGATGAAACAGAGAATATGGAGACCTTTGAAACAGGAAGAGGAAGTGATCAGCATACAGAACATGAAATGTGGATTAAGTGGCCCAGCATGTTTGCTCCATAATGAGGTGTGAAATAAATATATGTGCAGCAAGGCCAGGAATTATAAAGATCTTAGCTTTTGTACGAGGACATGTCTGGTTTTCAAAACCACATTTTTATGGATCTTGCTTAAGCATTCTTGTTTAATGTTTCAATATTTTGGCTCTGAGGCCTCTATGCCGTTGAATAAGAAAGACACACAAAGAAATGATAGCAAAGTATAGAGTACTGTATTTTTGCAGCTACACAATTGTTTCAAATCAACATTGATTCCTTGTTGCTAACAATTATAGACATTTAACATTTCAGTTTGTATTGCTGCGCTCCCAAACCCATTGAAGAATAGGAATATAAGAGTCTCTCTGCCTCTCTTTACAAAATGTAATGGGAAAAGTACAATAGAAAAATAGGTTGCTTAATATACATAATAGGTGTTTAGGGTCAAATTCTGTCTGCTGAGTGTTGGAGTAAATTGACATTTGCCAACATCTAAGGGAGAAGTATTGTTCTAAATGTTTATATTTTGAATAGCTACAATTAATCTTATTGAATAAGCTCTGATTATTGTATTGTTCTTGATTGTGTCTGGGTGTGCGGGGGCTTAGCACATTGATCTTTAACCTCACACATCTTCTGTTTGTTTCATCAACATAGTCAAGATAATGGTCTGTGTTGCTGGGATGTTACTCTCTTCTGAGCCAGTGGTTTGTTCTCTTTGTGTCTTTATTATAGGCAAATAGATTATACTGAATTCTCATTTGCACTAGAGAATTCTCTGTAGTGTAGTATCTCCCTTCTTTGGTTTTCCTTCCTTTCTGTCTGGAATGCTGGTAGTGGTCCAGTGGGAACTGCAGGACATAAGACTCCTTTTTTCCTGAAGATCTGGGATACCTCCATAAATACAAACTGCAACTATACAACAGAAAAGATACATGAATAATGCAGAAGTTTAACAGGGAACTTGGAAAAATGTTATTTGTGTAAGGGCTGCATTATGTTTCCCTCTTGCTCTTGTTCCCTCTGGATGGTTTCTATGGCTTCCTGGTCCTTAGGGACATTCCATTTTCCTCTCCTTTGATGCTCAGGCTATTTTATGTAAGTTCGGAGACAATCAAGTTGGCTGTCTCCACCTTATTTTTTGGAGGCAATTTCCTCTTGATTTTAAATTTGTCACTGGGGAAAGCTTTTTCTTCCCCTAAGCCAAACAGCTGTTTTTTATTTATTTTTAATTTTTTTTCTGCTTTTTTCACTAAAGAGGTGAAGTTTGTCTTTGGAAAAGTACAGTTCTGTGTGTTCTTCCCCTTCATATCAAAATAATAAAACACAAATTACCAGCGAAATTGCTATGGTTAGGTTCAGTTCTGTTGCTTCAGCCATCATTTGTGCTTCTGAGATGATAGTGGTGTTTTTCTTGTGACGCATCATTGAATCTAGTTGGTTTGTGAATGCTTTGTGGAGTCTTGACTTATCTATTTATATGGCCCTCATCACTGTAGTATCACTGCAGTATTCACAGATGAATTGTCTTTTTTAAATTTAAGGTTTTAAAGTAAATATGGTGCTTGTGAAAGGTTCTTAATTGTCTGAATTGGTCTCTGAAGTCATCTGTGCATGGAACAGACGTGACATGGTCGCCAAGTTTCCCATGCACTCCTGACAATGTACCTCAATCCTGACCACTTCCTGTGTCTAGCTGCAATTGTGCTAGCAATAGCTGTATAAGTATCAGTCTGTTATAAAGTCTCCAGTGTGCCATGGTACCAAACTTTGTCTGACACACTCTTGACAGGTGAACCATGGCTGAGGCCAGTGCTCTATGCGCTAAGCTGCTTTAACACCTGGTAGATCCCACTCACCAATTGCCTTCAAATGCCACACCCCTCCCAGGGCACTAGACACCCTGCTTTTGTGACCCACACTTTACAAGTACCATGCTATCATGACCTATCTTCTCCCCAGTTGGAGTCGCTGTACCATCACTGCTCTTCTGATTCATTGCATTACCCTCTCCTCCAAAAAGGATATATCCTCTCATCACAAGTAATCTATTAAGGATTCTTTACCCAAAAGGCTCCTTTTGACACTCAGACCAAAGCCTGGGTCTGTATATCACCTCCTATCCAATGTGTATGTAAATTGGGTATTGTTCCAACTGAGCCAACAGGTTTACAGGGGTCACTGGCAGAGCAGGACTTGGTCAAGCTCTTTACAGACTTGTGCCACCTTGGCCATTAGTAGCAATTCTATACTGGATCAGTAAGGTCATCTTTTTCTCTGTATTCTCTAATTGTGGTACCCGACCACATCCCCATCCATCCTTAATCTCATAGCCAAAAGTCCTTGTTCAAGGTGTAGAATAGTCTCGAACTTCTCAGCAGAAACCACAGAAAGAAATCACAGAAAGTGCATTCTTTTCCAGTTTCCCAGCCAGCTTAGGACTTCTGCTTTCCAATCCCTTATCTGGACATATTCCCAATTACTGAGGTCCTTGTGCTTGAGTCATCCCTGCTCCAGTCCCTGAAGTGCTTGTCTCCTGAGAACTCTCTAAGAGCTCCTTGGTCCTTCTCCTTGTCATTCTGGTAGTTCTGTTGAACATTCAATGGCTGATTTCTCTAATGTGGATTGTATGTGTGGTACTCAGGCACTGCTGAGTATGTACTCCCCATGTACCAGTGTCTTAGCAGGTCCTCAAAAACAACGAGGAGTTGGTGGCACCTTAAAGACTATCTGAAGAAGTGTTTTTTTACCCAGGAAAGCTTATGCCCAAATAAATCTGTTAGTCTTTAAGGTGCCACCAGACTCCTCGTTGTTTTTGTGGATACAGACTAACACGGACTAAAGCTGCTGCCCCCTTCTAGCACATCAAACTCCACAGTATGTCCATCTTCCACATGGCACCAGCATTTCCATGCGTTATTTTCCCGTTATTTTATTCCAGTGCACAAACACATCTTCTCTGGTGTAATTCCTTTTGATTAAGCCATATCCACTTCTCAGATTGTTGTGCAGTGATTCATCTGAGACTGCTGTTGCAATGATTCTCCTCTTCAGTATGGTGGCTGCTGATCTGACAGGTCAGGAATGGGTCTTCTTTCATAAACAATCTGGTCATCTGTCTGGCACTCTTAGTTCAAGTGTCAGGATTTTCATTCTTGACTAGAGCTGATTGGGAATTTTTTCAACAAAACAACTGTTGGAAAATGCCAGTTCATTGAAACTGAAAATACTAGACAATAGTCTGGTGGGTAGGGTGCTCAGTGGGATGTGGGAGACCTGGTTTCAAGTCTCTACTCTGCCTGATGTGGATTAGGAACTTGAACCTGAGATTCCTGTATCTCAGGTGAGTGCCCTAACTGCTTGGCTATAGCATCAGTCTCCCTGCTTCCCCCTGGGGTATTTAATTAGGCATACAAAGTGGGAGACTGAGACAGAGTCCTGTCCTAGCTTAGCCAGTGGCCTGGTAGTTAGAGCTTTGGCCAGGAATGTGGGAGACCCATGGCCAAGTCCCAGCTCCATAGGAGGCAGTTAACCCTGGGTCTCCACATCCTGGGGTGTGCTCTAGCTATCAGGCTATTGGAAATTCTTTCACAATGTTTTGGAGTGGGGAAATTTTCAAAATCTCAACGTTTCATGGGACAGGAAAAGTGTTTCCCTCCCAGCTCTATTCTTGATCCCCTCTTTGGGCTTGTGTGTAAGAGAACATATCCATGATGCAGTGGCCTGGACTGCCACAGCTCCAACATTGTCAGTCTCTTTGAACTCCTTGGCTTTTTTCTAAGTTATTTCCAATGTCTCTGTCTTCTCCCCACCTATCTTTGCTGAGTTGTGGGGCTCATGACCTTAGATCTTCTCTGCTTTAAACTGGTTAATGTCACATTGCTGTGCCTTCATAATCACTGTCAGTTCTTGAGTGTCTGACTCTCATGTCCTTACTTTAGAAAAAAATTGCCTCCAGGTTGGTGTCACAAGCCTATGAACAGGCATCTGAGCCCCTTTCTTCTGTATCATCTATGGCTAGCTCCAGCTTGCAGAAATTGTGATGTCTTTTTCCAGTCCTTTAGGTTTCTTTTTTCAAAGCACTATTCACATCTCCCTTCCAGATACATCGGTCACAAACAGGCCCCTAGTCAATCAATCTCACTTTTTGTCCTCACAGTCTGCGAATGCTCCGATGGCAGGACACTAGAAGCCACAGCCAAAATTATTATCTGAGCTCCTCCACCCCTTTTTTCTTTAGTCTCTGTTGAAAGCTGTTCAGCCTTGTGTTCTGTGCTTCAGTTCAGGGACAGCTGTAGGGTATCTTTGATAGATACTTGTTCCATTGATTGTCATTAGAGTAGCAGGCCCAGAAAATACAGTTTTGTGGCCTTCTCCCAGCCATTTATTCTTGTAGCCTGCTCAAAATACTGATCCAGTTGTCCAGGCCTCTGCCATCCCCCATATACTTTCTGGACATGAAAATGGGCTTCAACATCACCCCATCTGAACTGCCGGGTCAACTTCCCTCCTCAGGACTCAAGAGAGCACTTGGATTGTCAGGGCTACACATTTGCATTAATTGGATGGCACTCTGTCATCTTGCTCACCAAAAGTCTACCATTCAAATTCCCTAATTGTGGTTTTCCTCACACCATTGGTGATGTTTAGAGGATCCCACTCCTACCATCAGTGTAAATGTCAGCCTTTTGTGGGGTTTCCAGCATGGCATGGTGCCAGCTCTTGTCTCACACAGTCCCTAGTACTGTGACAGGAATACAATGGCAGTTACTGTAGTTGCCTAAGCTACCAAGGGTCTATGGCTCTAGCATGTAGTGGGTTGCAGTCTGTGCTCCCAAATGCCCTTTAATGTCTTATTCCTTCCAGAGCTCCAGGAGCTCTCTACAACACACTCCTCCCTAATTGTCCCCTTACCTGCTAGGCAATCTTCATGAACAGAGATTCGCCACACTGATTTATGCTAGCTCATTACTGTGCATCTGATTCATCACAACTGTTCTGGATTCCAACATGGTTTTCTTGACCATTG